ATGACACCAAAAGCACACAACCAAAGGAAAAATAAATTGAACTTCACCTTATTAAAACCCTTTGTGCAGCAGAGGACATTATCACATAATTTAAGAGACAAATCATGGAAGGGGAGAAAATATTTGCAAGCCTTATATCTTACAATGGTCTAGTATCCAAAATTTATAAAGAACTCTTAAAACCCAACAATAAAAGACAAATGACCCAAATAAAAATAAATAAATAAAACATGAATAGACATGTCCCTTAAGAAGATATAAAAAATGACCCTTTTGTCATGGAACTCACATTCTAGTTGAGGGGGAACAAAAAGGAAACAGATATATTAAATATACAGGACACATATCAAGTGATAAGTGCTATGCAGAGAAATAGAATATGGTAGCATGAGAGTGGGTAAATAAATGGATACATTACATCAAGAGTTGTATTAGTTAGGGTAGCGCTAATGACTGTGACAAAGAAACACAAATTTAGTGGCTTTACATTTATATAACAATCCAGTGGGGTTGCAGTATAGAAAAAGGGCCCCATGAAGTCATTCAGAGCCATAAGCTGATGCCAATTCTGCCATATTCAATACTTGTCTTCCAAGCTTGCTCTGGATGATCACATAGAAGGAAAAGAACATGGAAAATGGCACATTGGATCTTTTGCATTCCCATCCTGGGAGTCACATGCATCACTTCTTCTGATATTCTATTGGCTCATACTCAGTCACATGGTTACCCTCAGCTTCCACAGCTATAAAACAGATTAGGAAATATAGCCTATCTATGTGCCAGGATGAATAGAAAACCAAATTTTTGATGGAGAGCTATAGTCCTCCTACAAATTACCAGATCATTTAGACTATGATGAGAAACCAGCAAAAAGTCTTGAGAATGGAATTGCCATTCTATTGTATTTTGTTTGCATGCTTCAAAGAGCCCCCGACTATGAATAATAGATCAGAGAAGATCAGGAATGGAAACATGGTGGCCAGTTAGAAAGCTCTTGAGATGATGGTGACTTCATGGTGAGTTGAAACTAGTGTACAATTCTAGTGGAGATGGTGAGATACAGGAATACATTCAGGATGAGCTCGAAGCTTTTCAAAAGAGAGATACAAATTAGGCACAATTCATGAACATAGATTTTCTCCACATGTCTTCTTAGATGTTTCTTCTCCTTAGCTTATTTCTTATGAGAAATGTATATTCACTTTAAAAATGTTTAATTAATTTTATACCCGACTAAGCTCAGTGGCTGACTTTAGCTTTATTCTATAACGTTAAACAAGTGTGGCTTTTTCCTTAGTTGTCATTACCGGATGCTTGGATGATGTTCCCTTCTCTAAACAAAAACGATCTAAGGATTTCAAAGAAGAGCTCATATAAGTTAAATCCTCTCTCCAGTTCTGCAATAAGGTTGGAGCTAAATCCAGGGGTAAGAATCTCCAGCAGCTGGGGGAGGGCAGAGGGAAATGAAGCCTATTTCAAGCACATGTGACAGTCATGATTCATAATGGGAATCTGGGTCAGAATTTGCAGCTGGGGAAGCACCAGGAAAAGATTACTTTTATTATAAAAGCATGTACTTAATTACAGCTCAAAGCTAGAGTGGGGGGTGAATTGCACAGCTGGAAGGGAAAAGCAAATTAATTTGTTGACTTTTAAAGCCCTCTTATAGTGAAATATGCCCCCTCCTGTTTTAGCATTGGGTTATAACTGAAAAATTTTTAGAGTAGCCTCAAAGCAAAGAGTAGGCATGACGCAATGTAACAGTAGATAATTTACAATAGGTGTTTCCTCAGTCTGGTGAACTGTAAAAGCTGTGGACTATGGTTACTTTTTATAAAATAAACAACCCTGACCTGCAGTCATATTGTTTTCCTGAACAGGCAAAATCACCTCCACAGAAGACAATGTTCCTGTAAATAGTATCTTTGATTTTAGGCTACAGGGTCAATATTGATCACTGGACCCCCTAGTGAGACCCAATTGACAGAAGCTGGCATCCTAGTAGCAGGAAATAAAGACATCCAAATATACATCAGGTTGATATGTTAAAATGGTGGGACTTGAATTGAAGTTTTCAAGCCATAACTTGTTAGTTATAAAATGACCCTAGGGATATAAAAATCTTTGCAAATTTCACAGTAACTAGTCTGTATCTCTTTTGGCCATGCATTGAACAAGGCAATGAAGTGCAAAATAAAAGCCCAGCAATCTAGGTGGAGGTAAAAGATATGGATATGTTAACTAATAATTAATAATCAAGGTCACTTCTGGGAACGAGTCAGAGAAAGTAGGAGTTGATAAGCATCTCAAGAAGAATAGTATCAGATAAGCAGAGGCCAAGAGTTTGCAGTCATAAACAAGACATTAATTGAAAGCAATAGCAAAAAGTGGGGGACATAAGACTGTCAAAATCAATTTTTTTAAATAGCAAGGTTCAGACTATTTGACATTTTTTAAAAATTATGAACCAGAATATGGTAATTAAATTTATCTGGGGATTCAGAAAATATTTCAAGAAAAAAATGAAATATTCAATTCGTATATTTTAAGCTAGTATAAATGCCATTTTATGCTTTCTGAAATACATTTTGAATACCTCTTTAAAATTTTGAACAATTGTAATGAGAGATTAACACAATAAACAATCTATATGTTGTTGAGTTGTACTAATTTTATCTTATTTTATATTAGGACACTAAGATAAAGTTCAAATTTTAATTATTCCTTTATAAAAATTTATTGAGAACTTGGTATGCAAAATACACTATGCTTAATACTGTCACTGAATTCATATATGCTAGTGATTTTATATAACTATATTATATATATAGCCAATTTGATGGCATAAAATCTTAGTATAAGTCCTAAGTAATTTCCCTTTGGTGTTAATTTGAAGTATGGAATAATAGAAACAATAGCGATCAGGCAGCCAGCCAACTTCACTCTGGATCTGGTTCTCTCACTAAACTGATTGCATAAACTTTCACAAATAAGTTTCTGGGCCTTTCTAGTCTAAAGAATGGATCAGTGGACTAGATAATATTTATTCTTCCTTCTATCTCTAAAAATTTTTTTACATGTTCCAAAATGGTAGCCATGTATAATGTGTATTTCTGTTTTCATCATAAGGTAAGACATTTCAGCCTGTACAATATTCTTCCTGCAAATAGAACATCATATCCTGATTTCTAGACGCGAACAGTGATGACATGGGGTTGTCATACTGTCTTTGAGGTAGGCCTAGCTTTCACTTTGAACAGGCACCCAAGGACTGACTTCTACCAAAGAATGAGGAAAGCAAGAAATCCACCAGTAATTCTAATGCCACCACATATGACCATCGTCATCCTTAAACCAAAGCATAGGTCTTGAAAAAGAGTACAAACACGAAGGCCTTCCACATACTAGATAAGATTAATTTCCAATTTGGGTACTTTCAACTAGACTAGAATAAGCAAAACCAGTTAGCCAAATAAGTATCCAATTTATCGAGGATTCAAATCTAATTTTGAAATCTAATACTTAAGTTTCATCAAGAAAGTGTGTTTTAAAACACTGGGACCAGGGAATAGTGTAAAAGCACCATAGACCTCAAAGACCATAAATGACAATAGTAATTAGAACTAACAGTATATAGCCCTTACTGTTCATAGCCCTTGTTCTAAGCGCTTTAAATAGCTTAACTCATTTAATTTATGTAATCCTCACAAAAAACTTTAAGCAACCTACTATTGTTTTCCATATTTTATAGATGATAAAACAGAGTAAGAGAGGTTCAGTAACTTTCTCATGATCATACATTTGATAAGAGGCAAAAATGGTTTTTAAATAAAGAGTCTGGCTCTGGAATTCAGACTCTTTTTTTGTTTTTAACTTTTATTTTTATTCTGTGTCCACCAGGGGAAAAAAAACCTCATTTCTCCCCCTTCTCCGCTCTGATAAATCTTTTCTTGAATGACCATGCTGTGGTTAGAGTTTTCAGAGTATTTGCTGTATGCACTATAAACATTGTGGCTTCCTCTAACTAGTTTTAGCAATCAAGGTCAGAGGGTTTATGGGGACATGCACAAACCTTTATACATATGTAAAGATAACTGAAATATGCACTCCTAAAAGTCATCAGATGAGAAGAAACCCCTCCATCTATACAAAATCAACTGGTCCATTTTTGGAGTCTGGCGAAATATCATTTAAGAATGTTCATTTTACGTTACTATGTAAATGTATGCTATTGTCCATAGCATTATAAAAGGGAAGTCACTCTACCAGGCTTTATACTTATTAATTTCTGCTAGCTTTCAGGTAACAACTTCGGTACCAGAAGAGAAGCAGGTCCTGAAGCAGGTCCAGTGTCCTGCTCTTCTAATGTGAACCGGGCTGCATTCACTGGTCTGATAGGTTCAGGCCCCAGCTCTTATCTCCATAGAGTATTCATCAAATATTTTGCCACATATATCAAAGAAAATCAGAAAGCTATACTTACTCAAATAGCAGGAATTAACTGTTACATAGGAACTTCTAATCCCCAAACCATATATATAGCTTAACAGGCCTGAGGAAAGTTCACTGCAGGAAACAATAATAAGCATTTAAAAACAGGCATAAATCACTTTATATTAAGACATGACAAAGAGATTATATGCCTGAAAAAAACCTGAAGTGTCAAATAATTTGAAATATCTTTTAAAAGTCAATTACAGATATAGTCCTAAGAACCAAAAGAAATTTATTCATAAAATTTCTTACTTGACCAGTGGTGAGAACCAAGAAACACTATACCAAGAAATGCTCAACTAAGACCCCACTAATAGTCTTTAAGCTGGCTCATACAAGAGAACTGGAGTAGCTCTTGATTATTAGCTAGAAAGAATGTCCTTCTGTATGTCTTTCAATTGCACAAGGACATACATTTAACCACTGGGGTCTGTGCAAGTAGCATCGTAGTATCTGTAGACTTAGTTGAGTCACAGCTTCCAGAGTGCTATTCCTTGTCTACCTTACATAGCTGTTTCACCACTCTTGCTGATTTCTTTGTTGGCTCCTTGTTCTTTTTCTTCTCCTTTACTGGTGTTTGCTTTTTCTCTTTCTCTGTTGGCTCCTTTCTCTTCTGCCCGTCCACTGTCAGTTCCTTCCTCTCTTCCATGGTTGCCTTCTTTCTCTTCTTCGTCATGAACACTGGCGTAAACTGCTTTGTTATAGCCTTCCCGGTTCCGAGCAATTTCAATGGCAAAAAATTGTATCCTGGGGGCAAAGATGGTGTTTTCCTCAGTGTAGCCCTGGGAACAATCCAGTGGCAGCAAAGTACCATAGTTGAAGTCTTCTACAATCCCGTCAAACTTCAAGCAGAATGGCCTCCACTTCTCTTTAGCTGATTCTGATTTGAGCTCTTCTGGATCCAACACATCCATCCTGAGTTTCTCAAAATTTTCCCGAAACTCTGAATAGATTTGGTCATCCACTTTGGTGAGTTTCAGGAACTGTGGGTCAACTGATGAAATCAGCTTGTAGTAGACTTCAGCATGCTGCATTGCTTTCATGGCCCAAGGCATCTCAATATCAGGATCATTGCCATAAGACTCGGCTGGGAGAGAAAGAGCATGTGCCACAGACACCAGTTCCCCGGAAACCGGCTCAGCAGTTCCACTAGTCGTCTCCATGTTGCACCCCACAAAGCAACCTGGAATTCAGACTCTTAATCATTGATTACATTGCTCCTGCCTTACCGTGGAAAGAAAACAACCAAACAACCAACGATTTGGCAGGCAGCTTTGAAGATGTGCTGCTGAGTGTGCCGCTGCAGTCAGGGTAACGTTCTTGCCCAAATCACTCCCAGGTTCCAACCCTTACTTGACAAAGAATTCCAAAGAAGCATAAAATGGGATCCCTGCCATCAAAGAGATTGCAGTCACGTGTTAATGATAACATAGACGTAGGGAGGAAAACTCTTGGCCCAGCATAGTAGGCATGAGCCTGAGCTGAACAAGAAAGAATTAATGCAGGGCAGAAAGGAGGGCATGAGCTCAACTGACTTCATGATTGCCCCTGAGATGGTGCTTACAAACCTCAAACTCCTCACGTCTTTGACTAGAGACACTACATGAGAATGCAAATGTTATAAAAAGATGATATCATATTACATTATTATTAGGAATTAATCAGCTCATTTTGGACAATTATTTTCCTTACTTGTCATATTACCAGACATGGTGTTTCCGTGGAGGGACCCTACCAACACAGGTGAGTCTTCTTGGACAGAGGCCCACATAAGAGCACAGGGACCCAGCAATAATCCTGAGCACAGCCATGGGACAGAGGCAAGGAGGGCTGAAAATGCTGACGGGTTTTATGATTCTACACAGCACTCCCTTGATAAATCATCAGGGAAAGAACATTTGGGAAAGAAATCATTGAATAGTGCTACATTTAGATATGCTGGTTGAAAAAAACTCATGAAATTCTTACTTTATTTCTCTTTACTGATCCCTAAATGAAAAATAAAATTTCCCATTGCAGGCAAGAGCAAAACCGTCTCCATTTCTTTTTGTCTCCTCTTTCAGTAAAACATGTTCTGGATACCTAAGACCCCTTATGAAATATTCCAAACAGCATCACCGATCTTGTCCGCACTGTCACCACAATTTCTGGGACTTAATGCCTTGTAAAGGCTGCTTGGATGCCTAATGAACTGTGTTAGAATCTGTTCTATGTCATTTCCATTTCTGGTTTCTTCTGTCATGTCCGAAGTTACTCCAAGCAGTTTGACATCCAGAAACCAAACGGATGAAATCTCAGAGAACAAAGGCTCTTTGGCTAAGTAAATGACTTGAGGGCTTATTGTGCTTTGCATTAATGCCCACAAACTTCTTTTGTGGGATCATTTCTACATTTCCCATATGAGTTAATAAATGTGTGAATTTTAGGAAGAGCAGGAGCTGAAATGTTGCCTATAGAAAAATCATTCGGGAAAAATTGGTTTCTATGCTTCAAATGAAACTCCTCTGCTTAGAATTGCAGCTTTAACAAAATTTAAAAATGTGTGTACATAAATATATACATACATTATACTGGCTTTTATATTATTTGTCACATTGCCTTTTATTTGTCCCTTAATTTTACTTAAGATAAATGTTATAAATATAATTGCTGTTTTATCTTATTTTAATATTTACAAATAGATATTTTGGTCAAAATCGGGGATATAGTTTGAGTATCTTTCCCCTTATCTGAAGGCCAGACAAGAGAATGTTAAAATGCTTGCAAAATTTGCACAGCACACAATTTCATGATAGGTACTTCAGAAAATGTGGTGGAATCTCTGAGTTACCAGAGGGACTCCTGACTAAAATATTTGTAGAGAAGTAATAGTGGTAAGCTTTTTTAAAAAAAAAATATTTTCTTGGATACAGAATAAAATGGACACGGGAGTCACTATTGAAATTCTATATTTCCTTTCTTTTTAGTTGAGGGGTGAAACACTCCCTCTCAGAAACCTTCAAATTAATGGTCATATCTTTTGTCATTTGATATAATGAATCATTAGCCATCTGTGGAAGTAATTCAAGGAGTTGCTTGCAAATGTGTGACTTAAAAATCAGTTATGGGTAAGGTTATACCATAACATGGTTCTACTGAGATTTGTGATGACAACCATATGCCTGTTCTCCATATCAGAGCACTAAGCTGTGAAAGGGAGTTTCAGAGAGCTAAGGGCCAGCTTACAGAGTGGATCAGACGACTGTCCATATAAGCCTGAAGTACGTCTCTCATTTATAAAGCCTGACGTGAGAACATGTCTTAGAGTAAATCTCTCTTTCCAAAACTTTGGCTAAAACTATGAGGAGAGTTGGTTCTGAAAAATAGATTTCCTCACCTTCCAGCCAGTATTTTGGAGAATCACAGACCTGCCTCACACCTCTATCAGAAACAGACCAAGATGATGAAAATCAATTCAAAAATTATTTTTTCAAACGAGTAATTCACCCAAACACAAATTGGCAATGTTTTGCCTGCTTGTTTTACTATAATCTTGTTATAGCCAATCAATAATATGCCCTTTAGAGGAAAAACTCTTGCCTCTAGCCGCCCCCACACAATCACATCTATATTATGTTTGACAAAAAATTTTTAAAAAATGTACTGTTGGAGAAGGATAGTGTGTGGCTTTCCCCAAAATTATTTTATAAAAATCCTTTTCTACAGGACATATAAAGAAACTAATATGATGGCAGATATACACTTAAGGAGAGGATAATCTAGCACACAGGAAAAAGAAATCCCCAAAAGAAGAAATTAGCAGAGCCCATTCAGACACCATCTAAGGAAAGGGTGTTCTGGCACTCAAACTCTGAACACTGGTCTTTTGGGAGGATTATGCTTTTTGAGTCATTCAGTTATCTCCTAAGAGTCTGACTCTCTGCTTATAGAACAATTGTCTGATTAAAGTTTGGAGTCCAGTGCAATTTGCCTGCAAAGAGAGAATGTGCTAGATGGACCAACAATGCCACCACAGCCCAATGCTTTGACTTCACTGGAACTCCCAGTTCTTCCAATCCCGCAGTCTTTTCCTTTTGTTGCTTTGCTCCTCATCCAACTTGGAATTCATAAAGTATTCCAAAATTTTGGCTTGCCACTTGCCAATGTTCTAAAGTCCCTTGTTTCTCTGTCTTTTCTTCTCCTTCACATGATGAAATCACAGCTCTCGATGAATTTTTAACTACATTTCTCTGCTGATTTCTGGTGGACCATGTCTTCAAATATTTGCTGAATTTATTACTACTGACCTCAGGGAGGCCCTCAATGCTTCGTAAAAAACATATATTATGTATTCCCAATCCACCCAATTTCCAAAACCCCACAGTGACTTTTTCTAATTTTCTCTACTGCAGTCAGATCTCCAATTCCCCATCTCTTGCTTTCTCTCTGTAGAGAACATAAAAGACATCCAGAGGTAATGCCTTCATCTTTCCACCGCAATGCATACAGTTTTACTTACATTTAAATGAATCTTTTCTTTTTTCCCTACTGTTACAATGAGGAATGGAACCACCTTCCTATTAAGGCCAATCCAATAACCATGTTTTGGATTGCTACCCTCACTTTTTCAGACACTTAATCATCATTGCCTCCCTTACATGTGCATAAACATCAATAACACACACGCACATGTACACAAACACACATGCATAGATAATAAATAAATAAACAAATGGAAAAAAGAATGCTATGGACAGAATGTTTTTGACCCCCTCCCTCCAAATTCATATATTGAAGCCCTAATCCCCAATGTGGTAGTATTTGGTGGTGAGGCATTTAGGACGTGTTTAGATTATAAGAATGAAGCTCTCATGAATGTGACTGGTGTCCATATAAGAGACACTCTCATAGTCATGTGAGGACAGTCAAGGAGGTAGCCAGCTACAAACCAGGAAGCCCCAGCTTTCATCAGACTGAATCTGTTGATCCCTTGATCTTGGACTTCCTAGCCTCTAGAACTGTGCAAAATAAATGTTTATTGTTTAAGCCACCCATTCTATGGTATTTTTGTTACAGCAGCCCAAACTGGCTAACACAGTGTTCCATATGGTAATGAGCATTATATATCAATTTTATCAATGATATATATATTATACATATAAATTTATCAAAAATGTGGAGATTCTATTATATAGCTTCAGTAATCAAGACAGTATAGTATTGGCAAAAGAATGGATTAATAGATGAATGGAACAGAATAGAAAGCCCAGAAATAGACCACATAAATATAGTCCACTGATAATTGACAAAGTACAAGAATGATACTATAGAGCAAAGAGAGCATCTTTCACAAGTGGTGCTAGAACTGGGCATGCACATGCAAAAATTGAATCTATATATCTTATGCCCTTCACAAAATCAGCTTGTAGATCTAAATGCAAAACAAAAATCTATAAAATGACTAAAAAATAACATAAAACAAAACCTAGATGACCTTGGATACGACAATGACTTTCAGATACAACACCATCATGATCTGTGATAGAAAGAACAGTAAGCTGGTCACTCACTACTAAAATTAAAAAAAAAAAAACCTGTTCTGAGAAAAACTGAGAAAACCAATATCAAGGAATAAGAAGACAAGCCACATACTGGGAAAAAGTGTTTACAAAAAACACATCAGGTAAAGGACTAGTATCCAAATATAAAAGGAATTCCTAAAACTCAACAATAGGGAAACAAACAATCCAACTAAAAAATGGGCCAAAGACCTGAACAGACACTTCACAGTGGAGGTACACAAATGACAAATAGGCATATGAAAAGATACTCCCCATCCTATGTCATCAGGGAAGTGAAAACTAAAACAAGATACCACTACATACCTATTAGAATGGCCAAAATATAAAACATTGACAACACCAAATGGCAGTGAGAATGTAAAGCAGTGGGAATTCTCATTCATTGCTGCTGGGAATGCAAGATGGTACAGCCACTTTGGAAGACAGTTTGATGGTTTCCTACAAACTAAATAGTCCTACCATATGATCCAGCAATCCTGCTCCTTGGTATTCACTCAAAGGATTTGAAAACTTTGTCTACACAAAAACTTGCATATGGATATTTATAGCAGCTTTATTCACAATTGTCAAAATTGAAAACAACAAGATATTCTTCAGTAGGTGAATGGATAAATA